GACGCTGGCTGATCTGGGAAGCTGAAGGGCACAAGGGAGGGCTGTGGAAACTGGGGAGGGGGGTGGCACACGGGGAGGGGTGGTCTTCCCAGAACAGGGGAGACACAGGGAGCTTCCGGGACCCCTGGTGCACTGGGAGAAAGGACAAGGAGAAAAAGGAGTTTCCTGCAGGACAAGCCTTTTTGCAAGGAAAGCAAATGGGATTTTGAATTTTGTGTTCCTTCCTTAGCTTAGCCTCCTGGAGATTGCCTGGACAAGTTTCTGCAATGTCCTTGGCAGGGTTTTCAAGAGGTATTTTGTCCCGGCCTTCTTCTACCTGGGGCTGAGAGTAGGGGGCTGGCCCCAAATCCCCCAGCTGTATTGGTGCCCAAGGAAAGATTGGGATGGCAGACAGTGGGAACAGCGGGCTAGCCCATTCCCCTTTTTAGCCCTTCCTCAGCGGGTCCTGCAATGCAGGAGGATGGGAAAGGGATGGAAAGGGGAGGGTCTTCTTTTTTTTTTTTTTTTTACAGTGAGGGTCTCTAAATGCTTCCGCTGCAAAGTCAGCATGTGGCAGGGGACGTAAGGTGCATGAACTCTGGAAGGCAGACAAGATTTAGAAGGAAAGGCCGGGTTTGAAAAGTCAGCAGGTTTATTTCCTGTAAATATAATTCATGTATTTGCCCTGTTTGCACAAATGTCCAAGGTTGTACAGCCTTTCCCTGGGAGCTGTTCCCGGTCTCAAGAAGGAAATTAATCTGGAAGGATCCAGATTAATCCAGATCCAGTCAAAATTACCACAGCACTGAACAAAGTGGCTTAGGGTCGTTTTTACCCTTACGACGGTTGCAGCGTCCCCAGGGTCACATGATCAAACTTCAGATGTTCGGCAACTGACTCCTATTTATGACGGTGGCAGCGTCCCGGAGTCACTTGATCGCGTTTGCAACCTTCCGACAAGCAAAGTCCACGGGGGAAGCTGGAGTCACTAAACAATCGTGTTGCTGACTTAATGTTTATTTACTGATCGTTCGAAGTTGCAAATGGCACTTATTTGCTGAATGGCCACAAATTTGCTTAACAGACTTAACTAATCGGTGATCATCCAGCGTTCACCTTGCAGGGGAGATGGACAGCATGAAAATTTAATGCAGTAAATGAATGTGAAATAAATGATTCGCTTAACAACTGCAGTGATTTGCTTAACAAGTGTGGTGTGAAAGGTCGTTTAACATGGGGCAAAACTTACTTAACGACTGTCTCGCTTAGAAACAGAAATGTTGGTCTCAATTGTCGTCGTATATCAAGGACCACCTACCTGAAGCCCCTACCTGAAAACAGCCAGGAAGTCATGTTACTTGAATGCTCGGGCCAAACTGTGGAATCAACACTGTTTCGAAGCCTCTGGGAGGCTGCCTGTTGCATGTGACTTACCCATAATATTTGCATGGCAATGTGTATAGCAGAATAGAATAGAATAGAATAGAATAGAATAGAATAGAATAGAATAGAATAGAATAGAATAAACAGGGAATGGAATAGAGCAGAACAGAACAGAGAGACGAGGGAATAGAATAGGATAGGATAGGATAGGATAGGATAGGATAGGATAGGATAGGATAGAATAGAATAGAATAGAATAGAAATTGAAATAATAGAATAGAATAGAAATTGAAAGAATAGAATAGAATAGAATAGAATAGAATAGAATAGAATAGAACAGAATAGAATAGAACTGTGGTGGCAAACCCTCTCTGTGGGCACCCGCGCCATCGCCCCAGTCCTAGGCCTTTAGCTGAGTTTTATAAAACCTTTTCACTTTAGGCCTCCGCCTCCGTGTGCAAAAAACAAACAAAAACAAGGTTCAATCAATCAATTTCAACTTGAGAGAAAAAAAAATCTTGCAAAGTTGGAATTGATTGACTGAACTTTTTAGTCCCACCCAGTCTGCCGTTACCACTGCAGCCATGCCCACTCAATGGGCCACACCCACCCAATGGGCCACGGCCACCCAGCATCCAACGATACATAAGTGGGTTTTGGGTTACAGTTTGGGCACTTGGTCTCTAAAAGGTTCGCCATCACTGGAATAGAATAAACAAGGAATGGAATAGAGCAGAACAGAACAGAGAGAAGAGGAAGGAATAGAATAGAATAGAATAGAATAGAATAGAATAGAATAGAATAGAATAGAATAGAATAGAATAAACAGGGAATGGAATAGAGCAGAGCAGAACAGAGAGAAGAGGGAATAGAATAGAATAGAATAGAATAGAATAGAATAGAATAGAATAGAATAGAATAGAATAGAATAGAATAGAATAGAATAGAATAGAATAGAATAAACGGAATGGAACAGAGCAGAGCAGAGCAGAACAGAGAGAAGAGGGAATAGATGGAATAGATGGAATGGAATGGAATGGAATAGAATAGAATAGAATAGAATAGAATAGAATAGAATAGAATAAACACATTTGGAAGGAACCTTGGAGGTCTTCTAGTCCACCCCCCCCTCAGATCAAACTCTGCAGCTCAGAGAGACCCCTACAAATTTAGGATCCTTAAGAGATACAGAACCAGTAATCCCATTTCATCCAGAATTATAAAACCATATATAGACCACCATATATACCTTGCTCAAGGAATCTCAAGGGAAGGTGATATATATTATAAAGGAAGCTGAACGGCGTGTTAAATGTGGTTGGCAGGCATTCGGCAAGCTAAGCACAATTTTCAAGAACAACTTCCCCTTATGCCTTAAGAAAAAAGTTTTCGATCCGTGTGTGCTACCTGCTCTAACATATGCCCGTGAAACATGGACACTAACCTCACAATCGATACAAAAGCTAGGAGTGTGGCGAAAGGGATATAGAAAGAGACACGCTTGGCATCTCAAGATAAGTTAGAAAGACCCACACATTGATTGGAAAATGATATTATTAAGAGAGTCAAAAGAACTGAAACGGAAATGGGCTGGTCCACATAGCAAGGAGAACTGAGGGCAGATGGACCAAGGCGGTCGTGGAATGGATCCCACTCGGTCAAAAGCGTCCACGAAAGAGACCATAAGCAAGATGGATGGAGGACATCAACCAAGATGTGAGGGCCCAACTGGCAAAAGAAAGCTCAGGACCATGTTATTGTAGATTTTGATGTTAAAGAAATTAATTTGATGTTGAATCTTATAACAGCTGCAAGATTATTGGTGGGGCAATATTGGAAGAAAAACTCACTGCCTACTTTGGAAGAATGGATACTTAAGGTGTCTAATTTAGCAGAAATGGCAAACATCTCCGCCTATTTGAAGGACCATTCACAAGAAAAATATCTTTCAGTTTGGAGAAGATGGACTGATTATATTCAAAAGAAATATGAGATTGAAAAGTATTGTCTTGCTTATGAGTAAATTTTAGATTATTATTAATAGTTTAATATGGTTGAACTTGTATTATTTTTAGTATTATGGTTTAATTATATTTTATTTTTGTTTTTAATTTGTTAATATTTATCTTGAAAAGGAGTTAAAGTATGTTATGGATTGTTTGATAGTATAGTTGGGTAATGTTAGTTAGATTATGTTTGTTTATTTGCAACACTATAACCAGCTCTGGGAAGTGGGGGAGGGGGGGGAGGGATTTGGGATATATTGTGTAAAATTTTTAAAAAACTTGTAATAAAACAAAAAAGAAAGCTCAGGACCTTAGGGGTTGGAAAACAGGCGGAAGAGGCCGTCATCCTGCGGTGGATGGACAATGGCTAAAATGATGATGATGATAAAACCGTGATTGTTTGCATTGCGCCTTTCAGCTATGGCCCAAGGAATTGGAATTGTGGAGGACAGCTGGGTCACCAGGTGGAGAAACGCAAAATATACATTTTATTTTAGTTGTGGTTCGCTCTGCAGACTTGTCGTAATGTAATTCCTGAATGTTTCGTTACCAAATGAGGTAACATAAATAAATAAATAAATAAACCCTTTATTATCAAAGTATAACACATATGCAGTGAAATTGGCTGAGCCTCCCTCTGTGCTCCCCCCCCCTCACCACAAACTTACGGTGACTACAAACCCCCAACTTATTTCACCCTGTGAACTCATTTGCACATCACCCCGGCCTCACGCCTCTGTCATGCATAAAGTTGTAAAGTTATGTCCCATTCAGAAGCCACATCAGCAGCAGCATTTTCTTGTCTTATTCTCTTTAGCTCCTAAATGTCCCGCTGATGACGTTACCTCGTTTGGCAACGAAACGTTCAGGAATGATGTTTGGAGAACAAACCAAAACTAAACATTTAAAACCAAAGCTACAAATATGCCTCTATACCACAGTGGTTCTCAACCTGTGGGTCGGGACCCCATTTGGGATCGAACGACCATTTCACGGGGGTCGCCAAACAACGCAGTCTGCCATTTTTTCCCCCTTTTCCTTAGCTGTGCTACTCCCTTTTATTCTATTGGCTTTTGAAAGCCAATAGAATAGACTCTCTTGAATAGAGTCTAATTCTATTGGCTTTCAAAAGCCAGTAGGAATTGTCCAGGCTGTCTCTGCCCTGCTGAGACCGCCAAAAGTCCCATTCTGCAAACGGTGCTGCACCAGTTGAGTAGTCCTCGACTTACGACCGGTTGAGTAGTCCTTGACTTACGACCAGTTGGGGGTCGCGGCATTAAAAAGGTTGAGAACCACTGCTCTATACATTTTATTATTTAAAACTCATTTCCTGTTTGCTGGAGCCCTGAAGACACAGATTTCCAAGTTAGGTTTTCGTACTGATGGTTCCTTCCCAGTCTGGCGCTCTCTGCTTTCCAGTCCCTGCCTCTTTCCCTACAATCCAGAGAAGGCATAGGAGAGCCAGGCTGAGATTGAGATGTTGGTTTGTTAAATGTATATGCCGCCTGCCGAGTACGGGGTGGTGGTGGTGGTCTCGGCCTGGAAAAATCGCACCGATATTGGGTCGCCGAGAGGGGCGGGGTGTGTGTGCAGAGGGGCCGGGAGGGGCAGCACCGCAGCTCCGGGACGGCGGGGGGGGCCCTGGGGACTCAGGCTGCACCCCTTCCCGAGATGCCGCCAGAAAAGGGGTGCAAAGAGGGAGGGGGCATCTCGTCGGCGGGATTCGCTTCGCGGGGCCCGGCGGGCTCTCCCCGGGAGCGTCTCCGGCAGGGCGGGGAAGCCGGTCCGAGCCAGCAGCCGGGCGAGCCCTTCCCCGGCGGGGCCCGGACCGGCGGCCCGATTGGCCGGGCGGGGGCGCGCCTCTCGCGCCGGGCAGCCCCCCCTCCTCCAGCGCCAGCGCGGCCGGACTCGGCTCCTGCGCCGGCCGGACAGCCTAGCCCGCCTCGCCCGGCCACAGGAGGTAAGAGGCGCCGCCGGGCTGCAGCCGAGCAACTTTCGCCCGGCTCCCCCGCCGCCCCGCTTGGCCCGAGCCGGAGCAGCGCGGGGCCGCGGCAGGGAGGCGCGGGGAGAGAAGCCTGGCCGCTCCCTGCAGGGCTCCGGGCGGGCGGGAGCAGCCGAGAGCGGCGGCGGGACGGGTCCGTGGCGGCTGTTTGGCGGGCTGGAGCGGCCGGCTGTGGCCTCGCTTTCCCCTGCAACGCGGGAAAAAGCGTTGCGGGAACTTTGCCGCTGGCACCTCTCGCCCGCCAGCTGCCACCCCGGCATTCCTTGCCTCCGCCTCCCCCCGGCGTTGCTCCAGCGGGTCGAGCCAGGCCAAGCCCTCCAGGCAGGGATCGAGCGGGCAGGGCTGCGGTTGGGGGAGCGAGCGGGACTCAGGACCGGGGGAGCCGCCGCTTTGAGGACTGCTCTAATGGGGGCAGCCGGAAGGGAGCTCGGGGAAGGGTCGTCAGAGGCTTCGGGAGCTGCGGGGCGCCCCCTCGGGTCCCCGCGACCCTCCTTGGGAGGCCCAAGGCGCCCAGGCGGGATTTGCACAAAGCCTTGCACAAACGGGCGTTGGGATGGGGCTGGCTGAGCGCGGGAGGGGTCTGCGAGGGAGGGGGGGAGATTCACAGGCCCCGGAGAATTCATGGCAGGAGGCGGCAGGGGCTGGTCTGGGCGGCTGATCTTGCAAAGTGTGTTTGTGGGTTACAAGCTGGTTTAAGGAGAGGCTGTTCCGGGTGTGCCAGCTCCCATTCTGGGTCTGGGTCAGAGGGTGCCAGGTTGCCAACCCAAGTGACAGGGAAGAAGTCGCTCTGCAGACCCCTGCAAGCCAAAGTGGAGTCCGGTCTGTTGGGGTGGTCTGGATGTCTTATGGGGTCCTCTCCTTGCACCACAACTTTAGTAGAACATACATACATATATACACATATACGCAGCAAATTGTACATAACGGTAGAACATCTCCTGCTCAAGCAAGGGGTTGGAGTAGAACAGAGGTCCCCAACCTTTTGGGCACCAGGGACCAGTTACATGGAGAGAGTTTTTGCCACAGACCAGAGGATGCGTGGTTTTGTGTGCTGCCTGTATCCTGCAATGGGGCTTTGCTTGTTTGTGCCGACCGATTGCTGGCATGCTGCGGCCCAGTACCGGTCCACGGACTGGGGGTTGGGGACCTCTGGATTAGAAAGTTCCTTCCAGCTCTGTTATTAATTCTGTAATATCTCATGGAATTATTGACTTCAGGGACAATTGCTTATCTCCCATGGAATAAATCTGAGCATGGACAGCCCTGTTCAAGATGTTTGCTTCTCTCTGATGTTTGCTGTCCTCCCCATCAGAATTGGTAGGAGGATCTAGCTCCATGCCCAGTTGATTGCAGGCAGACGTACGGCTACAATTCGGCCCAAAATTTCTGTTGCTAAGCAAGACAATTGTTAAGTGAGTTTTGCCCCAGTTCTTTCCTGCCACAGTTGCTAAGTAAATCACTGCAGTTGTTCAGTTAGCCATACGGTTGTTAAGTGAATCCAACTTCTTCGTTGACTTTGCTGGTCAGTAGTTCTCAAAAGGGGGTCACGGGACACTGCAACTGTCAGAAATATGAGTCAGTTCCCAAATGTCTGAATTTTAATTGTGGGACACTGGGGATGCTGCAAGGGCCGCAAATGTGCAAAATGATCGTAAGTCACTTTTTTTTCCAGTGCTTTCTAACTTCAAAAGGTCACTAAACGAATGGGTGTAAGTCAAGGCTGGCTGGAGAATTCTGGGAATTGAAGTCCACAGGTCTTAAAGTGGCCACGTTTGAGGACCCCTGCTGTAAAGGGTCATCTGGCAACACTTGGGAAATGTGCCTACTGGAACAGCCACTCTGAGATCGGATCGGCTCCTTCATCGCTGCTGCAAAACAAGGAAGATTTGGCCTTTTTCCCAATCTGGGGGTTGAGTTAGTTGAATTCATGGGTGCGGCGGATTGGTTGTTGATACGTTACCCTCAGTTGCCAGCTTTTTTATTTTTACTGGGCACATTTTTATGTGCTTGTTTTGATATGTGTGACAGAGGCCTTTTCAGTGGGAGAGTGCTTAGCTGCAGACACCCCACGAAGGATTCGTGGATTGAAAGTTGCAGGTCAAGGAAAGGCTTGTGAAGACTTTGTGAAGGGCTACTGGTGCCCAGATTTTGGACAAGGCATTCTTTCACCCCTGAGATGGGTGTGTCTGGAAGATGCCCGGCCTGGAGGGATTTTGCAAAAGGCTGCAAGAATCCTGTGATTCACGAGGCGCCCAAGGGTGAGGTCTTCCCTTGCCAGCTTGTCTTGTGTACAGCCAGTCGTGTCTCTGTGACCTTGGGCAGCGGCTGATGCCACACGCAATTGGGGGACTGTTGGCCTGGGGGTTTGGGCCCCCTTGTGCCTCACAGTGTCTTGAATGCAGAGTGGAGGCCACAGTGACCAGCCAGGAGTACCACTCAGTTGTGTCTTTGGGAATGTCCTCTTGAGCAGGGCTGTCCAACCTTGGCAACTTTAAGAACTGTGGACTTCAACTCCCAGAATTCCCCTTGGCAGCTTTAAGACTTGTGGACTTCAGCTCCCAGAATTCCCCTTGGCAGCTTTAATATGTGTGGACTTTAACTGCCAGAATTCCCCTTGGCAGCTTTAAGACCTGTGGACTTTAACTCCCAGAATTCCCCTTGGCAGCTTTAGGACTTGTGGACTTCAACTCCCAGAATTCCCCTTGGCAGCTTTAAGACTTGTGGACTTCAACTCCCAGAATTCACCTTGGCAGCTTTAAGACTTGTGGACTTTAACTCCCAGAATTCCCCTTGGCAGTTTTAAGACTTGTAGACTTCAACTCCCAGAATTCCCCAGCCAGCACGTCCTAGCTGGGGATTTCTGGGAGTTGAAGTCCACAAGTCTTAACGTGGCCAAGGTGGGAGACCCCTCCTCAAGAGGGCCAAAACTGGAGACTTCTTTGGATGTCAAAGAGGATGGCAGTGGTTAGTTGGTGATGTAGGGGGGGGGCATTCTTGAATGCGCCATTATGAAAGGCTTCTGCTTCCATGGCCATTGGATAGCAAAGGGGTGCTTTTTTGATCGGGAGTTGCGGCATTGACGCAACATCGTAAGTGTGAAAAACAGTCATAAGTCACTTTTTTCAGTGATGTTGTAACTTCAAACGTTGACTGTTGTAGGTCAAGGACTAGCTGTACATGCTCATGTGCTGGGGAGACTCGGTGTTCAGCGGCAGTTTACTATATCCGGGAAAAGGGGAGTAGTGGGCTTCATCCTGCTCTGTTGGTGGGCTTTCTAAGAATCTCTTAGGAGCCCCCAACCCTGTGATTTTTTTTGGGCGCATAACATGGGTGGCTTCACTGACTTGACTTTTTCTGACTTCACCCCGCTGACCCCACCCCCATCCTCCCTCCTAGCCACGGAAGTCAGATTTGAGGGGGGGGGGCTAGACATAAGTAGATGGACGGGGTGGGTGGAGAGAGGATTAAAGACCTATCTCTGCCAGTTGGCTTGGGGGGGGGCTTTATGTTGGGGGTGTCTGATAGATTAATATCAGTTGCCACCTTCCCCCTCCCCTCCGCTCATCCTACTCCATTTCCTCCCCATTCTGTAGCTATTGTAGTTTGTATTTTTATATATTTGTAGTATTTTATTGATACAGTTTTATTTGTAAAAATAATATCGTAAGCCGCACAGAGTTACCCTGTGGTGAGACAGGCAGCCAGTAAATTTGATAGATAAAATAAAGATTGTTGGTGATTCCTTCAACAGAGTTGGACCCTGGGCTCATTGGGGATTAAACTCAGAGAGGAATAGAATAGAATAGAATAGAATAGAATAGAATAGAATAGAGTAGAGTAGAGTAGAGTAGAGTAGAGTAGAGTAGAGTAGAGTAGAGTAGAGTAGAATAGAATAGAATAGAATAGAATAGAATAGAATAGAATAGAATAGAATAGAATAGAATAGAATAGAATAGAATAGAAATGTGGAGTGGAATGGAATAGAATGGAATGGAACGGAACAGAATAGAGCAGAGCTGGAAGGGACATTGGAGGTCTTCTAGTCCAGCCCCCTGCTCAACCAGGAGAACCTATACCGTCTCAGACAGGTGACTGTCCAGTCTCTTCTTAAAAACTTCCAGTGATGGAGCGCCCACGATTTCTGGAGGCAAGCTGTTCCACTGGTTAATTGTCCTCACTATCAGGAAGTTTCTCCTTAATTCCAGGTTGCTTCTCTCTTTGATCAGTTTCCAACCATTGTTTCTCGTCTTTCCCTCTGGTGCTCTGGTGAGCAACCTGGCCCCCTCTGCCTTGTGGCAGCCCCCCCCTCCCGATCAATTGGGGCGCTGCTATCATGTCTCCCCTATTTCTTCTTTTCTTGAAATAGAACAAAACTTGTGCCCAGGGCTGTTTGGTGAATATTCAGGAAGTGTGGAATCATTAAAAGTGCCTGCCAGACCCGACTTCTGGGCCTTCACACCTTTGTGCTTTTCCCCAGCCATTCCTCTCACCCCCACACCCGGCCTTTGGCTCTCTGGAGACAAATCAGAGTCTAGGGTGGGTTTTTCACAGATGTGGCCTCTGGCTGGAGTTTGGCCAGCCAATTCCAGCCACTTTAAAGTTTGCTGGCCTCTGCGGTGTGCAGACCTAAGCACCGAGCGCCTCCTGTAATCTGCCTTTCAGAGGCGACGCGGTGGGGATAATGGGTGGTGTCATCGGTCAATTATACCTTGAGCTCCTTGGGTCATTCCCGGGGTCCTTCCATTGCTGTGCGTGTTATTCTGTGATGGTGATGATTATCGTTATTCTGCTGCTTTGCATGTACGGGCACTCCTTGTCTTATGACCTTGAGTGAGCCCAAAATTTCTCTTGCGAAGGGAGACATTTGTTAAGTGAGTTTTGACCCATTTTACAACGGCCACCGCCCGTTAAGTGAATCACTGCAGTGGTTAAGTTGTTAATAACAAAGTTGTGAAGTG